ACGGTGTGTGTTTACGCCACCGTCTGCTCCTCGGGCGTTGTGTTCCTCGACTTCGACCGCACCCTGACGGTGTGGCACGTCTTCAAGTGCTTGGCAGGCTGGGTGGACGAGGAGATCTGCGTCACGGTCCCATCGCTCGGGGCCGTGGATAAGCCGCACGCGCTCACGGAGCGCGGGCAGCTGCGGCGGCTCCACGATTCGACAGGCTTGCGCCGCGCCCGCCGACTCCTCCTCCTCCTCCTCCACCTCCTCCTCCTCCTCCTCCTCCTCCTCCTCCTTTTCCTCCTCCTCCTCCTCCTCCTCCTCCTCCTCCTCCTCCTCCCTCCTCCTCCTCCCCTCCTCCTCCTCCCCCTCCTCCTCCTCTCCCCCCCTCCTCCTCCTCCTCCGCCTCCTCCTCCTCCTCCTCCTCCCCTCCTCCTCCTCCTCCTTCCTCTCCTCCTCCTCCTCCTCATCCTCCTCCTCCTCCTCCTCCTCCTCCTCCTCCTCCTCCTCCTCCTCTCCTCCTCCTCCTCCTCCTCCTCCTCCTCCTCCTCCTGCTCCTCCTCCTCCTCCTCCTCCTCCGTCTCCGCGTCCGCGTCTCGAGCCCCAGCAGGGGTCCCGGGAGCCGCGGGCCCCCCGCGGAAGAGCTCGCCCGGGGCCGTGCCGCGCCGGCTCCACGCCCGCCTCCAGTTTGCAGTCTTTGGGGGTCCTTCGGGGGGAGAAGTCACCGCGTCGGGTTCTTTTTAGAGCCCGCAGCCGTTGGAAAGTCTTGACGCTTCGCGTATCCCCACCAATCCCGGTCTTTCGCTGGCCTGCGCCTCGGGAGCTGGCGCCACTGTGCGACCTTCCGCTGCCGTTGTCCCGCTCTGGCTAATGTGCCTCTCTTAATTATCTGGCGTGTTTACTCATGCTCTTGCTTGCACTTCGGCGCTGGCTTTTCGCCCGCTGGTAATTATCTGGCGTGTCACCCCATGCTCGATACTAACCGCTCTCTGGAATCGTCCTTGGAGCCGCAGATCAAAAGAAAGTATCCCCACCAATTGCCACCCAGCCAGTTCCCCCAGCAGCAGCCCCTCAGCCGCCGCTTCTGAGCGCTGGCCCGGCCGTCTTGCGCGTCGCTCAGTAGCTACTTAGGCTGGCCCGTGCCCCGGACCCCCCTCTCGGCGACAGCTTTACGCGTCTGCCCGCGACAAAAAAAATCCCCACCAGTCTTTGCTTGCCTTTCTCGTCCTGCTGCCTGGTCGCGGCCCGACTCGTGTTCGGACGGCGTTCTACCCGCCTCGCGAGCCTGTTGACCAAGAAGTATCCCCACCAGCTTTCCTCGTGGGCCTTATCCTCAGCGTCATCTTCGCCTACTCAGTCGCAGCGTAGTTCGCTCCTGCGCGCCCAGTGCCTAATTTAGAACGTGGCGCGGCTGTTTCGTTCTCGACGGCGCGCGGTTGTGCCGTGTCGCTCACGGATCAAAGAAGTATTCCCACCAGCCCATTCAGAAGCAGTTTGCCAGGCGAGTTGAAGCGTTTTTGTGAGAGGTTCTCGGGAGCCGTCTGGGGGCTCTCTTGAGGTCCTCTGTCGGCGCTCTTCGAGCCCTCTTGGGATTCGTTTGAGGCCTTCCTGGGGCCCTCTTTGAGCCCTCTGGGCGGGTCTGAGAGAGGTCTCTAGGGGCCTCCTTGGCCCCCGTAGGTCAAGAGGAGGGGTGCCCCCAATTCAGGCCCCCCCTCGGAGGCTAACACGTTGCCTCTTGGGGCCTTTTTGGGGCGCTCTCAGGCTGCTCTTGGGGCTCTCTTGGGCCCCCTCTTGGGGGGCTTTGCTGGGCCGTATTGAGGCCATCTTGAGGCCTCGGAATCCCATCAGGAGCGAAAAAGGCTATAACGCAATAGTCATGTATGTTTTATAGGGTCCCAGCGACACCTAATGTGGGGTCCTCCTTGGTCTCACGTATCGGCCCCTACCGGCCCTTATCAAAACCCATTGCGCACACGTGCACGCGGCGCACCCGGCCCTTAACTTTTAACCACCCGGCCTTTACCTTTGGACCACCCAGCCTTAATTTAGGACCACCCGGCCCTTAACTTTTGAGCACCCGGCCCTTAACTGTGGACCACCCGGCCCTTAACTTTCGGCCGCCCGGCCCTTAACTTTTGAGCACCCGGCCTATCACTTTTACTTTCTCGGATACCTCCGAATTGACTTGGCCCCGCGGGCCTTGAATTTGCGTGCCCAAAGCCAAGTCCGTGACCAAAATTATCCATCCTTAATGGCCCCTCGTCCTCCCAGTCCTCCCGTCTACCGACCCCCGTCTTCCTCCTTTTCCGTCCTCCCTGCAATCCATCTCATCCATGCAGCCCTTGTTCCCCATTCCTCCCTCCTCCCTTCTTTGCGTTATCTCCTTTGTCCCCCACCCCCCTTCCCATGGGATAGCTTTGCGGGGGCAGGGGAGGGATGGGGGGGATAGGAAGGAGTGATGTCAGTGTCCCCATAACTCATAACGGACGCTAGGGGGCTCTATATTCTAAGTTCTTCGTGGTTGCTTCAGTAAGCTGTGCGACAGTTCTACGAGTTCAAAGAAGTGGAA